GTATCCCTTTACCCGCTAGTGGAGCCGCTGCCCCTAAGAGGCCAACGCCAGTTGGAGATGAGGCTCGCTAGCCTCCAGCCGCGAGCGAGTACTCACCTCCCCCCTAGAACTCATGTTAGGAAAGTTCCCTTTCCAACGTTTGATGAGTAACCGTCGATGACTCTTTCGAGCATCCTCTACCACACATCATATGTCGAAGATGTCGCGTCCATTACCCGTGTAGGTGCGGGATAGGGCGGTTCATCAACAACTTTTGGGTCTGCACCGCATACCCTTACGTTACCCCGAGGGGCACTCATGTTAGGAAAGTTACCTTTCCAGCGTTGGATGAGTAACCGCCGAGGGCTCTTGCGAGTCACCTCTTCCACACATCTAGCTTGAAACCGGCCAATGCCTGTTACCCGCAGACGCGGGATTGGGTGGTTGACCGATAAGTTTACTGGGTGAGTGCCGTGTGGTCTGCACCGGGGGACTGTCAAACACCCATATAAGAGATACAGTGATCCCCCGCCACTCACGAAGCTGTTCAGTTCGTAAGAATCCAAGCAACCTGAGTTGTTTAGACTATTTATGGTAGTTAGGACTTCATGTTCTATGACCGGAGATAGAAAGAATGAACTGTTTGGTGTCGGAAAATTACGATAGTTTAAGAGTTCCGTGTCCGACGTTGCAGGAATTGACTTTAATATGTTTGCGGCAATTTCAACAAAAAATTCATTGAAAGTCTCAGCAGACAAGGAGTCATCTTGGAGGTTGCTTGCATTTTTATTTTTATTTCTTTCGGAATTTACAATTTTCCATGACGCTTTACATTTATTCTTAGCTGACGAAATGAAATTGTCATAAGCTAATCTTTTGCTGTTTTTCAATTGTTTATTATAATCTTTCTTGAAACTCCTGCAGACAGCAATGTCGACAGGTTTTTTGCTGACCTGTTAATGCAATGTCACTCGAATGATATGTATCCCTACCAAATTTCAAGAAAATTGGATAAGTGGAACCTCAATATCTATACTTGGTTATTATTTTTCAGTGAATCTGATATTCCAAACAATCGAATGCAAACTATATCTTGACTCTAATTCAAGGTCAACATTATTTCATTCATAATTTCATTTTGCTCTTTCATCAATGAAAGTTTCGCGTTCCTTCCGACGAAGGCGCCACATTACAGGACAAAATTTCAGAATTTCTAGTGAAAAAATATAGATGGCTCTGGCAACCTCCATCCAATGCTTTTTACATTGTGGTTGACCGACTATACATCTTTAGACAATGCTAACACAATTTACTGAATAAGATGGACTGAAAAGTTCTTAGGCTAACACATAGATGGCGCTACTGGTATCAAATCGATATGATTATAAGAGCTTTTTGCTGAACGTTCCAACTGGGTGATATAGTTGTGGTTCTAAAGAGAAATGCTCTAATTCCTGTTCTCTCATGGTCACGGAGCATGCAGAGAAGGGGATCCGAACTCCTTCATGTAGACACCCCATACTCAAAAGTTCACGGCCTCCCTGTTGTTGGGGGAAGTAGGGGAAGGTGTTGTTCCTCGGGACGCATGTACAAAAGAGCCACAGCCGATATTTCTCGGTAGTCAGCAAAACAGATCGAATAGAGCAACCGTAGTGTGCAGACGTTTGACCTTGCCTTTCTGATTTGAACTCCGAAACGGTACACGTGTTTCAGATAATATTTTTGTTTTTAACCTCAACAAGTTTACTTTTTCATCCTCGCAACTGTACGTGTTTGGATCTTCTTTTCAAATTTTAACAAAGGCGGACAATGTAAGTTTATACATTAATATCTTCTCTTTTCTTTGATGATATGGAATATCTGTTATTTTTAATCTACACAATTTAATCAATTTATCCAACCAAATTTAGCAAAAAAACATGACACGTACCTTGGGACAGTAAATTGCATGAACCTTGGGACTGTCCAAAGGTACATGCAATTTAAGTTATTATAAAAAACGTAAATTAAGGATGTTTCCTGTGCTGCTTTTTCGCCAACTGTGGTTTTTTACAGATTTATCAAGATGCCGCGAAGTAACCTTAAGTTAGGCGTTCAAGCCGTGCTTCAGCATAAAGCAAGTATTAGAGATGCAGCAACTACTTACAATGTAAGTAAGTCAACTTTGGCACGCCACATTAAGCTTCTTCGCGAATCCGGCAAACCTGACTTTGAATATTCAGCTAGCAATGCCGTAAAGAAAATATTCACAGAGGAAGAAGAGAAGCAGCTTGAGGACTATTTATTGTTTTCCTCTCGGCTACATTGGCTACATGGCACAACCAAACAAGAAATCCGTACATTGGCTTATCAGTACGCCGAAAAAAATAACAAAAACATGCCAGAAGTATGGACTAAAGAGAGAAGAGCCGGTAGAGAGTGGCTGCGCTGGTTCCTAAAGCGTCATGAAAAACTATCATTGCGAAAAGCAGAGCCTACCAGTTTATCGCGCTCAACGAGTTTTAACAAAAAAAATGTATCCGAATTTTTTGATAAACTGAGAAAATGTCAAGAAAAATATAAGTTTTCGGCAAGTAATATATACAACGTCGATGAAACCGGAAACACGACAGTTCACATTCCAACATTGTATTGTTGCTGCTGAGGGAGTGAAACAAGTAGGTTCTATGACGTCAGGCGAACGAGAAGTCAATATTACGATGATAGCTGGTATTAATGCTGTAGGGAACCATGTGCTCCCGATGCTCATTTTTCCAAGAGTGCATTTCAAATAGCACATGCTGAACGGAGCGCCTCCAGGCACCATTGGTGCTGCTAATCCTTCGTGGTGGTCTAATGAAGAAAAATTTTTTAGTTTTATGAAGCATTTTATCGACCATGTGAAATCATCAAATAACAATCCAGTACTTTTGGTGTATGATAACCATGAGAGCCATATTTCACTTCCTGTAATTGATTTGGCCAAAGCACATGGTGTTGTATTGCTAACGTTTCCACCACACACATCCCACAAATTACAGCCTTTGGATAGGACTGTGTTTGGTCCTTATAAAACCTTTTACAATCAAGCTGTTAATGAATGGATGCTTCAAAATCCAGGAAAACCAATTAGTCTTTACCAAGTCGCTGAAATAATTGGAAAAGCATATCCAAAAGCATTTACACAGCAACACATCACAAAGGGGTTTGCGGTTACGGGAATTTGCCCCTTAAATTCAGATATTTTTGGTGATGACGAATTCTTGAGCAGTTTCGTCACAGACCGAGCAAATCCAACTGAAGTTGTAACAGAAGCAATTGATGATGTTGACAATATTGGGCCATTGCATCAAAACATAGTGACCCCAGAGATGATAAGACCCTTCCCAAAGGCTGCACCTAGGAGGACCAAAGGATGTAGAAAAAAAGGCAAGTCCAGAATATTAACTGAAACTCCCGAGAAGAATGAGATTGAAATAGCGTTTTTGGACAGACAAGCTAAAAAGTCTAAGCCGAAAGTTCGAAAAGTGACAAGACAAGTTTTTAATGATAGCTTAGACGATGATGTAGAAATGTCTGTGCATAACTCTAGTGATGACAGCAACTATTTGGAAAGACTAGTGGAAGCTGAAAATACCGAAAGAGATGAAGAAATAAGTATGGAAAATGAAATAATACTGGAAGGAGACTCCGTGTTAGTAGAACTGAAAGGAAAAAGGTCTGTGCAACACTGCATAGCAGAAATTAAAAAAAAATCAGAAGATGGTTTTGATGTTATTTACCTAAAGAAAATCATGAACAGTAGCAAGTTTGTAAAGACTGAGCAGCTTTATGCAATAACAGAATCAGATATTTTAAGAAAATTGCCAAAACCATCGGTAGTGGGTGGATCCGAACGGCTGAATGAACAATTCTCTTTTCAAATAGACTTCATGTCCTACAACATGTACTAGTTGATGAAAATATTGTGCATATTGGATATTTGTTTTTCGTACTCATCTTTTAACTCTCATTTGTTGGTTTTGTCCCGAGGAACATGCAGGAATGTCTTAAGGTACATGCACCGGTTGTACCTTGGGAAAATTTGCAATATGTTTTGTTATTGAAATGTCATGATTATTTTACAACATAAGGTACTCAATGACTTCTTCATGAAGAGCAAAAATACCACTTATCGCGTGGAAAATGATAAAAGTAATTTTATTTCAAAATGTCTTTAGCAAAAATTAAAACAATAAAATCGTCCCAAGGTACAACACTCTCCCCTACAACCGTGGAACGGACGATTTGGGATGCAAACTCCTATAGTGATGGGTCTTTACGTCGAGTTGATACAACTCCTCCCGAGTCCACTCTACTACTCCAAACGAGTAGAGTGAGACTGGAACGGCAAGCATATTTGTTGCAGCCATTTTCCAAGGAAAAAGAAGTGATGTCGGAGGAAGACAGTTTTTATTATGAGAGCGGTACCGAACTTATTGAACGTCGTATAGAGTTGCAAGGAGATTGTGTTGAAAAATAATTTTTTTTTTCAAAATTTTGTGTTTTCGTCGTTGGGCCGGTTACTTTTGGGACCACCCTCGTAAAAATATACCCGTTCAACGAAGAGCAGGCATTGACACTGATAAATCAACAGACTACAGCACAAAACATGAATCAGTTTCAAGTGCCATGAAGTCCGTGACTTCTCAAACCATTCAAATTTTTCAAAAAGGTGAAATCGCCCGATGAACTGAAATTTTCACGTAGTCTATAGAAATTCATCAATTTTGAATCCTCTAAATATTTGTAACAACTGATCAAAATATATTCAACTTCTGCATACATGTTTGAAATTTGTTTTCGTGTTTCAGCCTTACCTGGAGCTCAATGAATAAATCTCCCAAAGCCTCAAACAAAGGTAGTAGAACAAACCCTATGAATGAACATTGCGATGATGGTTTGGTGATCTTCTCCCTATCCATGAACGGAGTGACAGGTAAACCTTCAAGTTTCTCTGCGTCGCTCTGCTTGAAGAACTCTTGCAACAGCTTATCTAGCCAGGGTTCGGCGACATCCATAGGCCTAGCTTCGTTGGATATGTCTGAGACTTTTATTAGAACCATGCATAACTGCGAAAAAAATTTGTGTTGACTACTAAATTCTGTTCAAGGTTTCCCTTGAGTACGAAAATACCATGAGAAAAATGCAATTATATATAAGTTGATGGATATAGCCGTTAACTACGTGGTAGGAAATCATAATGAAGAAAAGAGAAATGAAAATTTCTTTGTTTTTTACCACTTTTATTTGTAACTAACGTTACTGCAGTTTCGTCCTATACGGACATTTTCAAACTTGTAATGTATAAGTTTTAAAATGTCCTTATAGGACGAAACTGCA